CAGGTATCAGAGAAAAGGTGATAAAAAGGTGGGATAACAATATAGTTCACACCGTCACTGTAAACAAGATTATTATTGAAAATAGTTTTGTGGGAGAATGTAGTACTAACGACAAATAAACAACATCAATTCATTAGTAAAGTCACATACAGTAGACATAGAGAGAAGCGTCACATTTATATCACCGTGACTATTACAAAAAAATCACTGTGACAAATCACCACGATTATGTCACACCTATCACTTACATCACGCTAAATAGTTTAGGCGAGCGGCTAGGTGCTTTCTAATAGTCGTTATTAATAATCACTGATGCATCGAGTATATAACCAGAAATAAAGACGAAATAAGGGCTATCCATCCATGGCAGCTCATCAGCCAAATGGGCTTTATAACACTTTTAAATATAACTCTCGTTTGCGCTGAAATCACAAATTAGAAAGCTGAAATAGTACAGCGCCAACAACTGACCTGTGTGTACGTCTCCGTATATTCCAAAAATATTCTGTATTTATTGTAATAAAGATGATGTCTCTAACTATGGATGGCTGTTCCATTCGGTGGTATGAGAAAAACAGCAAAACATCTAATTACAAAACAAACGGAACCACATTTCATCGGTAATTAAATATTAAATGGTAATTTTTCGATTTTCGTCCATTATAGCAAAGCTCAAGTCGACACCCGTCAATTGTTTCGAATTCGGGCTGGCCAATAGGAGTGCAGTTGTCACGGTAAAGATTTGGCAGAATAGTTTTCAAACGAATTAAATGATATTTCGTGTCTATTTCTGGTTATATTCTCGATGCTTTGCTCTAACGTTTAAAACTGATCCGTAATAACCTTTACAGTTTTACAGGCTTGTCGTTAATAAGACCATGCGGCTTGTTTTTTATTTTGGATCAATTTGTATAATACATGGTATTTACACTGATCTAATTATTTCTTGGTTCTCATTTAGAATATAAAAAAGCTAACATAAATATTAATACAAAGATCGAACACTCAGAAAAAAATTCCTTCGATCCGGTCGGATTCGAACCGACGTCTTCTTGCATTCCGTGTCAGACGCTATACCAACTAAGCCACGGAACGAACCAACGGACCTCACGAATTTTTCTATGTGCTTGCGTCGTGTCTTTGTACTTGGTCTTTCAACGACTTTTTAGTCGTACCGCCATCTATGAGAAACCTATGACAGATTTATCACCCAGTTAGTACCTTTACAGCTACCAGTCCTGGCGAGAGATGTCGCTATTCACTGTATTAATTAAATTTTTACTGAATTGATATTATAACATTTATTAATTATAACAAACTAGTGGAGTAATTTCACAAAAAATAATTGAATATCAATTCAATAAAAATTTCATTCAAACATAAATAATTTAAAAATTATTTGCGTCAAAAATATATTATAAACTTTTTAAAAGGACACGAGACGTTCACAATGAAAATGTAAGATACCCAGATAGATTAATAAATCATTGTAGTATACGGAGTCAGACGAAGAAAAAATTCCAATATTGTGATCACGCCTGGGTCTGCTACCGAGCTGGTCTGCCACGCAAAGGTCCCAGGTTCAATTCCCGAGCCGGGAGAAATATTTGTATGGCCTAATATGCGCGAAATTCCCCCCCTAGTTTGCCATCCCTCAGAGGTGGAATTTTCTTTAAATTTAAATGTGACCACTACTGAGATACCCTCTTTCCGACAAAAAAAGATTCATCAAAATCGGTTATCGGAGTTATTGCGTGACATACGTACAAAAAAACATTCGAGTTGAGAATCTCCTCCTTTTTTGAAGTCGGTTAAAATCTCACATAATACATAATTTATTTCATACAGTTTGTATTTTTTTGATGGCCTCTGTGGTCGAGTGGCTTGCAAACCCACTTTCATGGTGTCACCGACTCTTAGATTCCCGGGTTTCTCTCAGAGAAAAGTTTAAGGAGACTGGGCATCACAGTATATTTACTCAAATGTTTTATATGCTTGTAAAAATATACACAATTTCATTAAAAAAGAAGATACCCATAATATTAACCTTAGAACTAAGTCCAAACTGGAACTGGGGAACTGTATACGTTTTTACAATAAGATCGCGGAGCATATATTAAGACTATAATTTCCTAAGTTTAAAACTTACATTAAAAGTGTTTCAATTGAAAAGTCATGTTACAAAATTGTAGACTTAGGGTCGTATTCTAGAACTCTACTCAATGCTCAAGTCAGGATTTGGTATGGTTTAAAGCACTCGAAATCATACTCAAGTCCCTGCCATTAGGATCGTATTTCCAGTGCTTGTGTTTCCAGTGCAATCCTGACTTGAGCATTGAGTAGAGTTCTAGAATACGACCCTACGTTTTAGATGTATGGAAAGACAACGTGAGTCAAGATTCCACACAAATATGATTCAAAATGTATTCTATAGCATTTAAGGTTATGTGAAAAGACTTTTCAATATAAATACTTTTATTGTAAGTTTTAAACTTAGGAAATGGTAACCTTAGTATATGCTCCGGAATCTTAGTTAATAAGGTTAATATTATGGATAGCTTCTTTTTTAACGAAATTATGTATATTTTTACGGGCGTACAAAATATTTGAATAAGATTCAAAGATTTTGCCATCGATCTTTTTATGCTTTAAAGTCTATACTATCTTAGCTTGAATTTAAGTTTATGCCCATTGACTTACAGATAAATGGACGACGGGTTTAATACAAAAACCACGAAAAAAATGTCCCAAGTCAACCTATTTAAACGTAGTGACATGTCAAGGAATATGAAAAAGCTAAAACGTTGAATTTAAATTGTAATGTCATCGCAGTACTGTCTAATTTTGCTTGCTTCGCTGTCAGTCGAACAAACGAAGACTAGAGCGTGAATGACGCTCTGTATACGATTTTAACGCCCTATAAGTTCGGACACTTTTTAGCGCGGACCCGACGTCCATATAATTGTGAGTCAATGTTTATGCCGTACTAATACGGTTTATTTTGCTTGGGTCGATTGACAGGGCCACTGGCTTTATTTCAAATTTAAAAAAAAACGAAATATAGCCCTTTTAAACAATGCATATCGTATAGTATACCTACATGATCTATTTAGTTCAGATGATATAAAAAAAATATATATTTTTCCCAAAGTAATTGATTCAACACTCTGACTGTTATGTGGGATCAACCGAAGACATTAGAAGTCGTATAGACTCTTAAAGTTCATAATATTATGTATAACACTTTTGACGTATAACCACATGTGACTTTATTATGGGATATAAACCGACCCATCCGAAGAACAGAGTCCTATGTGATTATATCGCGAAAAGAGAATAAGAGCGTTACGAGAATAATTTCCTTATTCAAATTAAGGCCTAGTGTAAAGGTGTTTTGAAAATTTATATGTCTTATTTCATTTCGGTAATATAAAATCGAGCAACGGTCGATGTGACATCTCCAGCGAAGAAGAACGAACGAAATGTACTATGTCCTGAGAACAAGTAGTCTTGCACATAGATCTTTGTTCTACGGATGAGTCGAAACATTTGATATGAAATTGGTACCGAAAACAATAAAAATAAAATACTGTTTTTTTTTACCATAACTAACATAATCGATATGTAGGAGAAATTAATTAATTAACACATCTGGATCAGCGACTCGAGATCTACAACCCCTCCTAGTCGGTTTTTGAAATATCTTATTTAGTTTCAAATTTATTGTTACTAAAATGCAAAAGCATTAGTAATGACAAGAAGGGCAGAATACCTGTTACTAGAAAATGTTACCGAAAATTCAACCTAATACCGCCATAAAATAATAATCATTAATTAATGCATTGTTTTTTTTTCTCGCCGCGGCAAAAAGGCCGTCGCTATCGGCATTCCTTTTGATCTTCATTTTACAACGGTTAAGTTATTTTGTTACTGATAAATCCTAACTGTAAATGTTAATGTTGGTTTAGTAACAATATTTTGTTTTTTCAGTTATTTTTTCTATTGAATCTTTGTTTTTATTAATACGTAATTATAGTTTGTTTATAAAAGTAGATAATTGCATTTTTAAAAGATTCGTTCCGTTTATTATAGAAAAAATCGGTCTTTCTGTTCTTTTTCTCGTCATATTTCAGTCTAGTAGTATTGGACCTATATGTATATCACACGCATTGATGTAAAAATGCCACATCTGCAAAATTATAACCTTTCAGGAGAGAGGTTTAATGATGTTACCAATGCATGACATTAGTCGACACCAATATTTTTCTTAAATAAGAGAGTTTAATTTTACATATACATAATTTGTTTTTGAATAAACATAATTCGTGTTTTCTTAATTTTTATGTGATAAAAGCACTTTTGATGATCACATGTGGATTTATTAATACCAAGGGTTGACAATAAAACAAATAATACAATTTGTGAATGTTACGAAGTTGACCAACTGATTTTGTTCAATAATTAATTGTTTGTTTTTGGCAATGAAATGTGGTTAGTTAACAATCTTTTTTTTATATCTATGCTATGTTGCTATGATATGTTATAAGAGCTTTAAATCGCAAAGATCTGAGGGGCAATGCCACTGCGCCCGTCACCCTGAGACATAAGTTGACAAGTCCCATGTGACTGTAATTTCACCAGCACCCTTCTCCTTCAAAACCGGAACACAGTAATGCTGACATTACTGCTTGGCGGCAGGACTAGGTAAGGTGGCAGTACTTCCTCAGACGAACTCTTTCACAAGGAGCTTCACAGTTGCAACATGAAGGCAGAAACTTGACAAATTGGGAAGCAATTCTATAAAAGTTTTTGACTAATTTCATTCTTAGAATATATAAACCTCTCTTCTGAAATGTTGTCATTTTGCATATGTATCTTTTTTACATCAACAAGGGTGCGAATTGTATGTAATTTATATTTTTCTTAAACTGCAGTCATCGGGACATGCCGCTTTTACTACTAGGTACTAGGTTACAACTAGGTACAAGTCCAAAACTCACCGTGTGGGCGATCGTCCGCGCCGTCGCTGTCAATCTCACTTCTGATACTCCCCGGACTGGCCCTCTTCAAATCCTCCTGATTCTGTCCCTCTTGATATCCTCTCTTGTCATACGACATAAAAAATGGGAAATTTACACGATTCTGATAGAAAAATCGATCTCTTTTCACATCGTCATCTTCAGAATTTGTATAATCTTGAGATATATTGTTTTCAATGTCGATCTCCGGCGATCGTCTATCGATACCGACTATCGATTCGATTGAGAAATTCTTCGGCGGTATTTTGGTTTGCAAATTTTGCAATTTCCCAATTTCCGACTCCATTGTGTGTCACTTCACTATTTTATTTTAACGTTCTATAATTAAAAAGTCACTGCACTGGCTGGTTGGAAATGTCACTTTTTAAAAGAAAATTGTTCGATTATTCGAAAATCGAAATTTGTATTTGGATCCGTCGAATGTCAGTTCTCAACTGAGCCTCGACTGAGGATTTCGAAGGGAGTTCGTTTGGCCACGCCTTCTAAAGGTGTGGTCTGTGATAGTATTAATCAAGAACCATCTTTATTCTAATGGCAATTGGGTGGAATTTTCTTTAGTAATATTTATAATGTATTTTATGTAAAAAGCAATTTGAACTCTAATAAACTCGAATACGGTTTCTATTTTGTTTGAAACATTTTATTATATAAAAATAAGTAATGCTTAGTAGTAATAATAACCCTTGGTAAAGTCAATTTACTTTTTTATTCTTTTTTTTTTATCGAATTAAGGATTCTTTTTTAATTTTATTTTGTTTTTTTATCATTATAAAGTAAGACGATTGGCGGAATCATTATGCCTAAGTTCAGCATCTCATTGGTATAAATAAAATATTTTCTATCTATAGACGACTTTTTTGATGTTTCATGTCAATCACGTCAAAACGGACCAACGGATTTAAATGAAAGATTCGCTCTGGACCTTTTGGAGGGAAAAGTGTCGTTTTTATTTTGACTTTCAATTATTTTGTGAAATCTAGTTTAAAGTGGAATAGGATAGTGATATTGTGCCTTAATCGAAGATTAAAACGCGAAATTATACGAATCTCGAACTAAAATACCCGTATCGGCCCGTTTTAAGGAATCCCGAGTCAATCCAAGCACGCCGCATCAAATTGCCTATCCTCTTTGTGGCGGCCATATTTACAGAAACATAGTTAAATTTCATGTTTAGGCTGATGGCTTTGCCAAAGCCTTAATAATAATAATAAAAAAAAAAATTAAATGAAAATTAAATGTTGATTACCATATACTGTAAGTAGAAACTAGTGGACAGGACTTAGTTTCCTTTGTAATATCGGTTTTTATTTTAAAGTTAGAAGGAATTACGGCGAATTTTTTTTAAAGCCTTAGGTACACAGATAATCTTGGAGAGGATTCCTTACGTAGTATAGAAAAATGAACACTTTATACACTGTAAAACAAATAAATAAGTATTAGACAACATTACATACATTGCTCTGATCCCAAAGTAAAAACAAAAGCATGTGTGTTGTGAAAACCGGAAACAACTACAGCACCACAAACACCCAGACGCGAGACAATATAGAAAAGTTAGTTTTCTACATTGACACATCCGGAGATCGAAGCTGGGACGCAGAGATGACAACACCGTTAAACCAGCAAGCCACTCGACCATGGAAGTCATCGAACTACGTATATATTATGAGAAAATAAATAAATAAACCAAATTATTTTCTTCATATTGAAGCTTCTATCTACCCGTGCAAAGCCAAATGTTTTAACTAGTATATTTTTCCAGCTTTCCTGAAAACGCCTCACGAGATTGTTAAAGGGGGTACAACCTCCCCATTTAGGGGGAAAGAGAAGGGGGTTAGATTATATTTTAATGCAATAATTCTATGTGATCATACCGTGTTTACGAGGGTCGGTTATGCATGAGATGAAAATTCCTTCGATATCGAGTTCTTATGTTTTATCTGGAAATCAAATTTTTCCCGTGCTAATACAGTTCAGTTTGCTTGGGTCGAACGGCAGGGACACTGGCTTTATTTCAGAATCTATTTTTTTCCAAACGCAATTGAAGCCATTTGACAAATGTATATCGTATAAGTACTATACTTGTTCTATTCAGTTCAGTTGATTTAAAAAAAATCATTGATGTATGTAACGTAGGTACAGTCATGAGTTTTTTTGTTTTGTTTTATTATTTACAAATGTCATGCCAGTTTGACAGCTCTATCTGAGTGAGGTCACAGAGAGGGGGTGTTTGGTAGTCTGAAGCCGGATTTACAATTGTCTGACGTGACGTGACGCGTCAGAATGGCATCGGTTTTTTTACATTTAATGTGGTTAGATTTTATTAATGTGTCGTGACGGCTCGTGTTGTGTCGCGTCAGAAGCGATCCCGATCTGCGGAGCTGCCGCGTCACGTCATATCAGAGAAGTGTGCAGTGATGTGTTCTGTCGCTTCAGTGCCTTATGGTAGTTTTCCAACGGCAAGGCTTGAAGAAACGAGAATTTAAATATTAAAAAATTGCCATTAATAGCTAGCGCTGTGACTGTGAACAGTAAAGATTCAGGGCTGTTTAGTTCATCTAGCGACAAGTTCGCGGCTGAATAAACATTAAATAAAACATTAGATTATGTTAACAGAAGAAGAATCGGAAGAAACCATCGTTTTCTAAATCTCAATTCGTACGTACTACGTACCCCACAATCTCGCGGTTGATATTAATAGCCATCGCGAGCTCGCGTGAGACCGCGCGGGTACTCGCGAGTTCGCGCGAGAAATCGTATTTCCGTCAAACAGTATAATGCTCTATGTAGGCAGCAATACGGTTCAATATTATATCAACAAACATTCAAATTCTAGCCTCGCCCATCCTCGTCAATCCAGATCTTTGCCACCGAAGATGCGCGAGAAAAGAATGGAAATTTTGCCATTCAAATTTCTATTCTCGTCTCGCCTTGTCTCTCCTCGTCACGCCGGTGGAAAACCACCTTTAGACATTTTAAAATAGTTATGAAATCTTTCATCATCGCTCTCAACTTCTTTAACGAGACAGTGAAATTCGCCGTTGACTCTTTTTTATTCACTTGATGATCCCAATATGTTCTTTTTTCTTTCTTTTTTTTAATATAGTTGCCATCAAGTGGCCATCATCGCAAATTCAATATCTCCTACATAATCTGAATCAGAAACGGATGATTCCAAAGAAAATATTGCGAACGCATGAATTCTCCGAGAGCCATGACGGTATTGATTCAAAATATTGAAATTAGTAGAGGCGAAGCTCCTGAGCCTTGAACACCGCCGTAAAGTTGCCTGCTTGTCGGTATTCTTAAGGATATATCACGGAGAGTGTGCGATGGAATTGCATAATTTGATTCCGCCTTCCGCTTTCCATTGTCGGGGGACTAGACGTGGGCTGGGGTTCCACCCCTATGTTGTTAATATTCTCAGCATTCGCAATAAGCGTTTGGCTTCCACATTTATATGGCGAGCGGCCAGTGTGAAATTCCCTACCTGCTGACTTGTTCCCCGACCGATATAACTTGGACCTTTTCAAGGCTAGAGTGAATAGGCATTATTTAGGTGTGCATGCTACATCGTCGACCTCATCATCACTTTCCATCATCAAAAATATCGTCAGAAGACGACAGAACATGACATGTAGATGTGAACGCTTTCCATGACGTCAGAGCGCATCACGATACAAACGCGGCTTGTATTTGTTCGGTTAAATCAGTCATCTGACGGGATCCTACGACATGATGTTCGTTGGCAGGTTTGCCATATGAAAATAAGAAGTGAAGTTGACAGTAAAGGCTTATAAACGAGCGCGTATTAACAAAAGGGGCTTTTTATGTAAGTTGCTTGGATAGTGATCACGTGACTTGGCCTCGCCCTCTGTAAACTTCCTGCGTGACGTTTAAGACGTTTTAACCTGATCTGCATCTTGCTATCCAGTGGCGAGACCAAGAGAGAGAGAGATGAAAGAGAAGCGACTTACCATGCGTCGGTGGTAAGCGCTTGCTGCACGCCTGCCCAGAACACATGCAGGTCTTAAGACAAATTTTTGAATGCGTAACTCCGTGTGTATCTCACTCGGTCGTAGCTAGAAGATTAAATTTTGTGAAATTTGGCCCCAGTTCATGACTCTGATGGTACAGTGTTGAACACAGCTTGGCATACACGATATAAAAATATTTGCATTACTGTATCGACGTAATGAAATTAAATGAGGTTTATTTACAATGAATAGATTTTATAAGATAATTATTATATTATAGCCCAAAATCGTGGGCAGATACACCGAATACGGAATTTGGTATCATTCCATATTGAAATATTTATATATTATATCTCTTAACTCATCGTGCCTCTTTGGCATAGGCCTCCTCCAGTTCTTTTCTTTTGCTCTACCAAGAGCTACTCTTCTCCAACACGGTCCTGCAGATAGCTTCAGTTCATCACACAGGTATAATTCCATACTTATTACAAATTTCGATGTACAAAATCTTTTTAGCCAAAAAAGTGGGTCTCCGTACAATACCCACCTTGCAATCCTGTGGATTCTCACTGCTAAGATTGCATATTACTATTTGATTTTGAGGCAGATGGTACATATTGAAAGTAACATAAATTTTTTTGTAGGTATATTTTGCCGACTTCAGTGAAAGATTAAATGCGACAAGCTATCGCTTTTCGATGAGACCCATGCATAACTTGATCATACGTCGCCCTTTGAGCGGGACAGTCTCGCTTTTAGGTTTCGTGTCCCTCTGTCACCAAAATACTTAAAAGTGTGCCGCGTTCACAAAACAGAACACACGTAACAAAAAATTTCAAAAAATGGCGCGAAAGCGAGACATCTAGCATCAGATAATTATACAAAGTTCTTTTTATAAATTTTTGATTTCAAACAATTTTGGGTATTATTATTAATACAAAGATCGAACACTCAGAAAAAATTCCTTCGTTCCGGCCGGATTCGAAGCGACGCACGTTTTCTAGCATACCGTGCCAGACGCTATACCAACTAAGCCACGGAACGAACCAGCGGACCTCATGAATTTTTCTATATGCTTGTTGTCGTATCTTTGTATTTGGTTTTTTAACGACTTTTAGTCGTAGCGCCATCTATGAGAAATCTATGAAAGTTTTATCACCCAGT